GAGCTTTTGTTTTTTTTTTTTTTTTTTTTTTAGGATCTTTATGCCAAAGCTATACCCAAATTAGAAAAAGCTGTTGAGCATGGTAGAGGTAAATCAGTTTAGTTTTCTTTAACTAGCAATTTAAAATGTAGGACTGTACTATATCTTCTGTTAAAAGGGAATTCTATTAAGCATCATTATATATATAATTTCTAATGCATTTAAGACTACTTTGTTTGCACTGTATATCTGTTTAAATTTCCCTTGTAGGTCATTATGACACTACATTTCTAAACAATTAGAATACAAGACCTGCATTTATGTTGACCAATGTCACTAAAAATGACAGTTATGCAGGAAAAGAAGGAAAAAAAATCCTCACAGTTTCTACTCAGTTGGTAGTATTTGCTTGACCCAGCCTAGTAACTGAAACCTCCTGCAGTGTTTATTATTTGTTGCAAATGTTAGGTCTTTTGTTTGTAATGTTTAGCCTTTTCATTTTGGTTTGCTTCCTTGGATCTCCTAAGAATTTTGAATTAATCCAAAATAATTTATATTTATTTTTGTTTTTGGAAGCATCCTTTCATACTTAGGCTCATAAGGACTGAGCATGGATGCTATCTAGAGCTCATTTCAGATATTAGCCTCTTTTCCTTAAACTTAACAGTCTCAGTCTTTTGAACTCCTCTGTATGGAAGGTTTTTCATAGTTTTCCATTCCCCCATTGGACTCCCATCTTTGAGTGAGCTTTGTTTATGCTGTGTCTTTCCTTTGTTCTGTGATTTGTTTTTTGTACAGTGTTTCACTGAAACTAATTCTTGTTAATGTGTAAATGTAAGAATACATTTTGCAAAGTTTTTTATTGGTAATTTGAAAAAGATGTAATCGAGATGCAAAAGAGCAAAACAAAACAGATGGCCCAGGAGCAAAGGCAGAAGCTTCTATGAAAATTGGTAAATACAATACGATGTTCAGTTTCATTCATGTGTTACTAGAGAAGATCTCAAAGGCTTTGAATTTTATGCCAGCAAATCTAAAATGTGCATGATAGTTAAATGTGTTTTGATAACTCTTTATGTTTTGTAACAATTGCCAGCATGTATTGATGATTCCTTATCACAAAACCACTTTCACATTACATGAAAGCCCTTTGTTCTGACTACTTTTCAGAGGGCTGTGAATTTCTCCAAAACCCCCCTGCTGGATTTTACCCAAGGCTTGGTGTGATAGGTTTCGCTGGAATTGTTGGATTGTTTCTTGCTAGAGGTAAGTGGGAACCTTTTGAACTGCTGATGTTATGATTTTGGATAAATAATTTATTTGTGGTTTTTGGATACTAATTTTTAATGGTGATGTGTGAGATCTGACTTAACAGTACAAGCATGTTTTCTACAACGTTTCTCCAATTAAAAGGTGTGTAAGAACCATCAGTTATTGTTTATCAGTACTGTATTTGTTACTGGAATCTAGTCTTTGATCTTTTCCATTTCTAGCTTATTATAGCAAAAGTAGGAAGGGATTTTTTGTTTGTTTGGTTGGTTGGTTTTTTTAGCCTGCCATGGTTTAACTCCAGCTGGCAACTGAGCACCACACAGCTGCTTGCTCATTCCCCCTGCAGTGAGACAGGGGAGAGAGCTGGAAAAAACAAGAAGTATAATTTGTGGGTTGAGATAAAGACAGTTAAATAGCTAAAGCAAAAACCACGCACACAAGCAAAGCAAAACAAGGAATCCGTTCACCACTTCCCATGGGCAGGCAGGTGTTCAGCCATCTCCAGGAAAGCAGGGCTCCAGCACGCATAATGCTTACTTGGGAAGACAAAATGCCATCACTCCGAACGTCCCTCTTTCCTTCTTCTTCCCCCAGCTTTATGTGCTGAACATGACATCCTATGGTCTGGGATATCCCTCGGGTCAGTTGGGGTCAGCTGTCCTGGCTGTGTCCCCTCCCAAATCCTTGTGTGTCCCCCCCCAGCCTCCTCACTGGTGGGGTGAGAAGCAGAAAAGGTCTGGACTGTGTGTAAGCACTGCTCAGCCCAACACTGTTTCCAGCACAAATCCAAAACAGCCCCATACCAGCTACTGTGAAGAAAATTAACTCTATCCCAGCCAAAACCAGCACATGGCCTAAAAATCTTTTTGATTGCTTAAGTTCTTGATCACGTGTCACTGTAGAAAACTACAGAGGAATAAATTACGGTAAAATACAGAGCTTCCTGAACTATGATACATGTACAATTAGTTGTATATTCAAGTTTCTTCAAAGTATTGTGTGTCCAGGCACAGAGCTGCTGCAGATGGTGACATTCAGCAAAAAATACTTGTGAACTCTGGGTGTACTATAAATATATGCACGTTTTGTGCTATTGGAAAGTGATACAGTTAATTTCATCACACTAGTTGAAGAAACTAATATGTTTATGCTTTCATAGAAATAAATGTTATTTTAAGAAATGTTAAGTGTGAAAAAGTATTTTGTGTTTGTATTGAGATATTCTTAATACAGTGAAATGAAATACCACAAGAATAAAACTTGCAGGTAATGGCACTGTAAAGTTCTAGAATTTAAATACTAGTGAGGACTTGCTTTGGATAAAAATAGACTTTTGTGGGACCCGTACATGTTGAACAAGCTGGAAATGTGTGCTTGGCTATGTAGAAATGGAAAGCATTCTGTGAATATATGCGTTCCTCAAAATATTTGATTTTCCAGTGAAGATGATGAAAGCAGTATTTTTTTTCTAGCTTTTTGGTTTTTTTAAATGAAAATCAAGGTCTCCAACTTCACCCATTCAAAGTTCTTTCTCTTCAAATTCCTGCTGCTTGAGTTACGTGATTATGAATGAGAGAGGTTTCCAGCCTTTATGACTGTAGCAAAATGGGGCAGGGGGGAAGTGCAGTCTTGGGGCTGGATCTGAAAGGACAAGAGGGTCCTAAGTTTAATAAAAATAAAAATTCCTCATAATACAAACGTCTGATTTGTGAATCTTCTAGGATGGGAGCCATAATTTTGAAACTTTCTGTCTAGTTATAATTTACAACACTGGCTGTTATTTCTAGAAAATATTCAAACTGTAGGAGGAAGTGCCCCTTAACTTTGATGCTACAGAAAGTTAGAACTAAATATCCTTTTTTATTTTAATCCCTTCCCCACTTGGTCTCGCTGGAAAAATTGCTCCCTTGGAAGGTACAGATAAAATCTTCCAGGTTTAACTGTAACACTTGAAGATACAGCTGCCCACCAAGTAGAAAGTACGGTATTTGGAGTTTAATCATGTGAATATTGTGCGGTCATCCAGCTTGGTTTAAAACGCCTTTGGAGATGATTTGTTCTAACCTTGTTGAGTAGTACTGGAATGGATATGGGAGTATTCCTAAACTTCCTTTAATGGGTATCTCCAGCAGGTAGCAGCGTCTGGAAGGCATTAATACCTTCAGCTATTACATTTATTCCTAAAGTGATATTGTAGGCACACTGATAAGCTATCTGTAAGGAAGGTTTCCTCATTCCCAGAAATTACAACAAACATGTAATTTTTGTGGTGGTAAAGATGCAGTGAAGCTTGCCTTTTCTGCGCTTTCTTAGAGCTAATTAGTACCAAGTTCCCCCTAACCAAGACTAGCAACATCACACTATGAATGTCTCTTGTTTACTGCTGAGTTTCTCATCTCATCATGAGCATATGTTAGTGGAAACACTAAACGCTTCTAATATTTATTTCCTCTTCAAAATTCATTCTTCCTCTATTAGAAGCACGTGTGGCTTCACATATAGAACAGGCTGTTCTATGAGGAACAGAACTACTGCATCCTGACTCCTGTACGTCTGTTCTATGACCTTTTTTTCTCCTGTACTGCTTGCTTTTCTCCTTTACCTGCTCCCTTCTGTGTTCCTTTCTGACTGGATAAACTGCAGCATGCCCTGTAACTGATTGAGTGATGCATATTGTCACTGGCCAGCCAGGATACACAACCTGTGGCCAGCTGTGCTAAGAGGATAAACTTCTAAGGCAGTTAAATTATTTTAGACTTGTATAATTGAATAGAGAGTTCAAATTGATTAAAATGTTCAAAATTTGGTTGGGTACTGAGCAATAGGCGTATAGCATAACTGTAAGTACTTTAATTTAAAAGTACTTCCAAATGTTTTGCAAATTGCTACAGTGAATCAAGAAAAATTATTCATAAGAGCAGTTGTGGAAGAATCAAGATTTGTGAGTCAGGGTAACTTATAAAGTTTGTATTAGAATGTCTCTCGTTCTGCTTGCTGTATCAAAAAAATGCCATCCTAACCTTTCTTTGCCTGAGTTTTTCCTTTTAGTTTAGAAAAGAGTATCAGTTGGTTTGCTTCTCTTAAATATGTCTTAACTGTGGCTTTTATTTCATTATTCAGTAGTGAAAGAAATTATGTATTACTACAGTAAATATAGTTGTAAGGTAATTTTCACTATGGAAAGATGTTAATAAAAATATTCTCTTAAAAAAGTGAAAAGAATAATTATTGATCAGAGTAATCATGTTTCTTAAGAAACAAGTAGGACTGAACAGAAAATATGCTAAACTGTATTTGATAAAATTGTTTTGATTACAAATAAAAGGTTAGGGCCATTCAGCTGTCTTGGTTAACATAGACGCTAACAATGTTTTGGGTTTTTTGTTATGAAACAGGCTCAAAAATAAAGAAGTTAGTGTATCCTGCGGGTCTCATGGGTATTGGTGCCTCCATGTATTACCCTCAGCAAGCGGTTGCTATTGCAAAGGTCAGTGATGATACCTTTCTTTGGAGAAGTGTCTTTTACTTTGATTTTTGCCTCCTACCTTCAAATTAACTGGTAATGCATTTTTAAAAGCCATGTCAGTGTGCTTGGCACTTAACAAAATGATAGTTATTTTGCCAAAGAACATGCAATCTACGCTCAAAGACGGTCAGACATTCTGTTTCTTTTAGTGACTTTTTTTTTTCCCAAACATGTGGAGCAATGTCTTCAGTCAGAGGAGCATAATTTTCCTTCTGAATCTCTAACCTCAGGTAATTATAAATTAATGTAAATATGCTTAGTAAGTACAGTTTGCATGTTTACTTACAATACTAAGGAAGCCTGAAGTATCTTGAAAGCAAATGAAAATGGGCTTTGAAAGAAAAAAAAAAAGAGGCAGGGAGGTTCTTTAGAAAATCATAGGAACAACATTTGGAGATAAACATTATTGTTGGATAGAGTTTTAAGAAAGATAGCATGCACATTCTGGAATGAGGTAAGAATTCTGCTGAGAAAAAAGTTCAGAAAGAACTGAAGAGCCCAGACAATTGCTCATAGCCCCTACTGATGTCAGTTCATGTGCCTTGCTGTCCACACTTAGTTGTACTGGCAGATTCCTCAGTTCTCCACCACATTCTTTTTCAAATCCAGCTTTTAACCACTCACAGTGCACATGTTTTAGTGTCACAAATTCTTTGTATTTCAGGCTTTGGTAAATTAGCTATCCAGTTATTGGTGACTTGTGAATAACATTGAGATGTCAGGATGACAATAGATATTCCTAAGAACATATGATGTTATTTGAATACTGAAAGGTCATCGTCTTAGGGAGAGTCAAAACGCTGTGTTTGAACTCTGGCAGCATGGTGATACCCTGATCTTTGATGGAATCTTTTTTTAGTGCTTCCAGGATTCAGATGCTCTGAATACAGATAGTTCTGTTGACTTATTCTTAGGGAGTGAAAATTATGCAAGTGACAGGAAAGAAAAACATAAAAATTTAAGAAGCTTACACATTTCTGTTGGAAACTGTGTGTTAAAATTCTAGTTGCCTTCTGAACAGTGAAGTGGGAAGTGATTGAATGGTGTTCAAACTCATGTTATTGTTTTTAAAGAAGCTCAGTTCAGTCTTAACTATGGATTTGCTACTAACAGCTTCACAATACCATGTTTATTTTATGAAAACTTTGAAGTGCATGATTACCCTTTGATTAATTCACAGTTCTTAGTTTGACTGTAATGAAAAATCTGATATGGGACCATGAGCCTGAAACTTGATTGGAATAGGTTTAGCTTTGTTGACTTGGTCAGGACACTAGACGTATGAGTTTGGAAACCTCTGTGGAGAGAGTGATATCCTAGATACTGTTTTGGTTCCTCTAATCTCTCTCGCACTTTTCTTTTCTGAAAGAAGGAAAGTTTTAAGTGTATCAGATCTTACTATCCATAATTTTTATGCTTTAATCTGAAACTGGAAGCACTTTCCTCTCTAGTAATTACTTTGAAATGTTTCATAGGCCTTTCAAAAAATTTCTGTAAGCATAGAAAGGGATGCCTGCAGTACAAAGCTCACTTGCCAAGTTAATAGAACATTATAGGAAATACTCTGGATCATAAATTTTAGCTTTTTTATTTATTCTTTGTATTACGTTCTTTTTATTTTTCTTCCACATTTGAGTACTTAATCACTGCTTTTTCATTTACAGTCGTATAGTTCCCTTCATTTGGTAAACTTTCAGATTTGACCATACTTTAAAAGACTAAAAAAGTTTTGTGTGTGTGTGTGTGTTTGTTTTCCTTCCCACCTTTATTAAAGACTTTCCATTGAAGAGTTGGAAATAAACACAGCAAAATATATTTGCAGTTGAGGTACAACACTTGATGCATCTGTCTGGAAGAAAACTTTTTTCATTAATTAAAATGTATGAGTTGCTAAGTGAAGTTATGGCAACAGAGTTCATCATTGGTAATAGGTAGTTTTCAGACAGTATTCATCTAACTGGAGACAGAAGAAATGCACAGACTAATTTTTTTTTTCCTGCTTTAGTAATCATTCTAATAAATCACAAATTTGTAAGGGATTTATTGCCTCACTGCTAGTTTTACTTTAATTTGTATAACTTTGAACAAATGGTCAGACTGTATATGTGGTAATGGAACTGAATTTAATATTAAAGTTTATTTTGTTCTGCTGGAACTTTTAACTACTGTTTTGGAACTGTATTGCTTTCCAGCTAATCGTAATTCATTCAAAATATTTTGAAATTTACTGTGGCTTATCTTCCATCTGGAAAAAACATTCCATTATGAAGTTACTTAAATCAGTCTCTTTATCATTAGAATTATTTTTTGTTTCTTGTTATTAGAACTTCTCAAATTTCCTAAAGTAGTGTGTGTTACGCTTATCTTCTTGAAAGAAAGAAAAGCTTCCTAATATATAAGTTTGTTTATTTCACAACAAACTAAATTATGTCTTTTAAACCTATACCTCATCCCTTGCCCAGTTCAGTTCATAAGGCATAAGCAGTTGTACTGGCACAACTGAGAGCCTGACATGATTATAGGAACTGTGGATTGGAAAGAAGGAGTTGGGGTTCCTTGATCCATGTTTACTGCCGAATGAAATGCTTGTGAAATTGCACTATGACTACTTTCTCAACAGTATAAATGTAGAAGAGCCAGCAGATTCTCAGTTTATTTTCTCAGCATGCAATGTAGATAAAGAATTGCTAACCATAATTCTGCTCAATAATCTTGACATATAACATATAGTGTAGTCAATATTATACACTTATGGTGTGGAATTAAAATATGGCAGCTTGTTTACATGCACATTAGGCCTTAGAGACTGCTGATGCTACCCCAGTAGTGCCTAGTACGGGTGTTTGGGGCCAAAGGTCACTTTCAAACTATTTCAGAGTCCCTGTTGAGAACCACTCAATCTGACTTTTGAACTTGTTTGTTCAAATTTTAGCATACAAACTTACTTAGTGTTGCAGTGAACAGAGGTGGTATTTTAGCATGTTGTAATTTAACACAAACAAGCTGGAAATTGTTATCTTCCAGAAATCAAGAATTCCAGATGACTGAATGGAAAAAAACTTGTCCCTCTTTGAAAGGAACTCTTTGCATGAATGTTTGAGTGAACACTTTGAACAATTGAATGAACTGTTTGTATTATTGTTCCTTTATTTTCCTGGTTGGAACTGCCACTTCCAAGAATAGTGGTGGCAACTGCAGTACTCACCTGCTTCTTCTTCATCTGCTCCATGAGAAAGAGAGGTATAAAACACAAGCCTAACGTATGACTCTAGTGTTGTGTTCATGAGAGGATGCATTGGGTGGTTATAAAAATTACTTGGCTATGTTCCTGTAGACCCTGTAATTTGCAGTTTACAGTCTATCTAGAACTGTATTTTTCAACCCATGTGAATGTGTGCATGGGTCCCAGCGCTTGGGAGGTGTATACAGTGTTGAAACATGGTTTGACTGTGGCAGACTAAACTATCTGGGTTGCTGTACCTTGTGATGTAGCTACTTTCCTCCAGCAACATGAATGACCAGTTTTTCATCTAGTGCAATTCATAATTCACTTGATCGTATGACTCCTATAGTAAGAATATTTTTAAGTTTGTACTGTTAGGTATTTAGAGTGTGTTTTAAGTATTTTAATGGAGTATTTTTAAGCAGGAACAAGAAATGGCTTATGGATAGCTGTTGTTTCTCATTTTATGTTGATGGCTGTGTCCTCAGTAACATTGCAGACAAAACCCCCTCTGTTTGTTTGTTTATTGTGGTTATTTTTCAGTCCTGGTAGGTTTGTACTGCTTGCACAACTGATCACGCTATCTGTCCAGGTGAGCCATAGGCTCCTCTGACTTTCAGAACTAGTTTGTTGAAGTACTTGAGAATGAACACTCCTGATGCTAAAGAAGATGATAACTGTCTATACCTGTAATGTTTGAATTGAGGGATTTTGGAGATTTAACACATTCATCCTGGGAACAGTTGGTGTGCTTTTTTCTGATGCCCTTTATCACCTTCAAATATAGAGAAAACTCAGTGCATCATACCAACTTGTTTAAAACCAAAGTACAACTGTAATTGTCATATGTGGTGACAAATATGCTACATCTTTGCATTTAAAACAGCCTACATTTTGAATTTAGTTGTGACTTGGAAATGTAGTTGCTGATTTGGGTTTGTTTTCTTTTAATCCTAATTATTAAATAGCCTCTTCCGTAAAGTAGTAATGTGATCTCTGCCCAGAAGCATGTCCATTACCACTGTGGTACGTAACTAGTGTACTTAATTCTGTTCAGACAAAGGGAAGTGGTTCTTCACACCGTGTGTGCCCAGCGGTAGAACTCCTTGGCACAGGATGTTGTGGATGCTAAAAATTTGTGTGGAGTTCAAGGGGAAGTGCAACAAGTTCATAAAAGGGAAATTCCTTGGGCATTGTTATACACATGGAAATCACCTCTGGCTCAGGAAATCTCTGAGCAGTAAATTGTTGGAGACTGCAAGAGACTCAAAAATTTCATTCAGAAACTTTTTCAGAAACATCAGAAAACTCTTTCACAAACGTCATTTATGCTGCCCTGTTCTTATAGTTTTGGTTTTCCAGCTTTGCCTGCTGTGGAAGATAGGGTGATACCTTCTTATTTCTTGATTTCATAAGTCTTTTAGTTTAATAGCTGTCTAGCTGGGCAAATTGTCCATTTTTGCTGTTCTTTATTTGTAAGAAAACTGATAGTGATATGAAGGTGAGTACTGACCTGAGGCTGGAGCTGTAAAAACCTAAGACTCTTGAGTTTTAAACAATGCTATGAATATTACAGTTCCATATCATGTAAGGGGCAGGAGATAGTCTTTTATTAGACTTAAGGATTTTTCCTGTCGTAAAATGTACCTGTTGATATAATATAGCAAGCACAGTCTTTCCTAGCTGCCTTCTGTTTTGAGAGTTGACTGCTGGTTATTCATTACAGCCATCTATTGGCAAATTGGATCCCTCTTCTAAATAGCAAATAAAAAAGAAACAAAGGGGTACTCTTACTATTCTGTCAAAGCAGTGAAAATGTAAAATTGCAAAATAGTGACTAAGTAGGGGGGGGGTGTTTTGTCTTTAAAATGGGTATGGCCAAATTAAGAAATAAGTTGCATATGTTAAATCTGTTAAACATTGAATACAGAGAAAACCAGAATTGTTTCCATGCAGCATCATTCCACCCCTTTTTATACAGATGTATTTTCAGGTAGTCTTCAAATAGTTTTTTAGTAAGTTGGCTTTTCTTATTCTTCATGTGTCATTTTCTTTCAAGATGTTTATTAATGGTGTACACCCTAAGCTTGAACAGGAAGACGTTAAAGATCTTGTGTTTTGAGATTTTTTCCACTTAAACAAGAAGCAAAATAATATTTCCCAGGTTAAGTTCATACTTTCTGATATCTTTTCTTTCAAAGGTTGCTGGTACACACCTGTATGACTGGAGTCTTCAGGGATATATTGCTGTAGAGTCTCTTTGGAAGGATAATCCTAAGAAGAAGAAATCTGGGGAAAAAAGTGATAAGGTAAGAAGTCTAAGGAACTTGATTTCTAAATGTATAATCTACTAAGTGTTTATTAGGAGAGTTGAGAGTATTGTGATTGGGATGCTAGGGATCAAGGCTCTCACAGTCTTGATTATTTAAAAAAGCTAACTTCCTTTTTTTAAAGTAATTTAATTTGACAAGCTCCATCTTCAAAATCTCAATAACTTTTTTTTTTCATTACATATCTCCTTTTTGAAAGAGAGAAGATAGAATCTTGTTTCCAATTTATTCCCTTTTTGTTTTTTTCCTTTGAATGTTCATGAATATTTGCTCTAGCATGATGATGTGAGTGTGCTGCTCTATTAAATGTTACTATCTAGTCATAAAACCAGCAGCTTATAGAGATGCAGTTCTTGGGGATTTACTCATAGGTAACTAGCTGTGTGGTTTAATACTTACAGCCCTGTTTTAGGAAACCATGGTTTAATCGGTTCTCATTCAGAAGACTGCCAATAAAAATTGAGTTTCTTTTGAATCTGCTTTGAACCAGGCATCCTGGTGAGGTACCAAGCGTAGTCATTGCTGAAAGTTTCTGCTTTCTAGATTTCCAATTGTTAACGCTGTACGAGCAGTGAAACTAACATTCACATATGTGAATTTATCTGTTTAATTTTTTCTAGTTCGAATATCATTCATCTTTATTTTCTGTTCTACAAATAACTTTTTTTTTTTCTTTTTGGTCTGGCATTACAGTTCTGTGTTATGCTAAGCAGACTGATGTCTTGCCTTAGAGATGCCCGCATCTGATGACAGAGCTTTGTTTTCCAGAGTTTGGCAAGCACTGAGGTTTCTTTAAAACAGTGTTTTTGAATTAACATTGCTAATACAATTAAGTGAATGTCTGCCTGCTTATTTTCAGTTTTAGAATGGAGCAGCTTTCCCTAATCCCCCTATAGAGCATCAGTGATACAGTAGGATTTCCTCGCGTACTTCACCAGAGAAGGGAAGCCTTTTTTTCCAGCGCTCTTGTGGTCCATGCTTATACAGTACCACCATATAAGGCATGTGTGGCTTTAGTTACTTTAAATCTCAGTATCTCAGCAAGTGTGCTCTTCCATAGTTGATTTATAGTCCTCAAAGTAGTTGCACTGTATTTAAGTCATATTATTCAGTGTACATGAATGATTTCATCCTTGGTTTTGAGTTAGTGTTTGTATTGGTATCTAACTATTTGCTTATATGTTTGTGTGTGTTAAAGCAGTGTATATTAAGACTTTATATTAGGCTTTTTTTATATATATATAATGTATATTATATTTCTGTATAAAACCACAGACTGGTTGAGGTTGGAAGGGACCTCTGGAGGTCATCTGGTCTAGTCCCCTGCTCAAGTGGGACCCCCTAGAGCTGGTTGCCCAGGACCATGTCCAGATGGTTTTTTAATATCTCCAAGGATGGAGACTCTACAACTTCCCTGGGCAACCTGTGCCAGGGCTCGGTCACCCTCACAGTAGAAAAAAAATGTTTCCTGATGTTCAGAGGGAAGCTCCTGTGTTTCAGTTTGTGCCCGTTGCCTCTGGTCCTGCCACTGGGCACCACTGAAAGGAGCCTGGCTCCGTCCTTGCACCCTCCCTGCAGGTCTTTATGTACATTAAGATCCCCCTGAGCCTTCTCCTCTCCAGGCTGAGCAGTCCCAGCTCTCTCAGCCTTTCCTCATAGGAGAGATGCTTCAGTCCCTTCATCATGTCCATGTCTCTCTTGTACTGGGGAACCCAGAACTGGGCACAGTACTCTACTTAAACTTTGTCTGTAGAGTTGGTCAAATACAATATACAGCTGTAGTGAATTGTAGGATTTTAGTTTTGTATATCTGTAATTGTTTGCTTCTACAAATTGCTAGATGTTATGACTGGATAACAATGTCCAATAGAGCAGTACGCAGTGATGTCATTATGTTAAAGCAAATATTTATGAATACTCCTCCCAAAGAAATCGGAAATAGGATTCTATTTTGCTGCTTCAAATGCATTTTCCATTCTACAAAACGCTACCAAGTTTCAAAATAAGTGTGATGTGATTGATTGATTGAAGATTAGTACCGACTTGTGAAGAAGTAGGAACTTGTTTTAATGAATCGTTACATTATGTAATGTCTTGATCATAATTTAGAACCTGCCTTGAAGCTTCTGGAGTTAAGTATCTTAATGATGGGTTTGGTTTTTATCTACTAGACATTTCTGTTATCCCAGAGGAGCAAGCTGTCTCTGTAGTTGTACCTCTCTGATATAGATAAGCAAACTGACTTCTAGGAAATACATGTAGATGGCTCAGTGCGGCAGAGTGTAAGAGACCAGAGAATGGTGCGAGTTGATTGAATGTATGCCAAGGAGAGCCTGTTAGGTTTTTAGGGAATTTTTGTAACTGCTACTTAACGAAATAAAAGTTCAAGTGTGTAACGTAAATCTTCTCTAGTTTTGAATTCACTTCTAAACTCACTGCATCTTTAATTCCTGATTTCTGAGCAGCTATGCTTGTACTGTTGATAGAAACTGCTGCCCTAGCTGCAGACTACTTCCCATCTCTTATTTTAGTTGTTTAATGTAGCCTGGCAAAACTAACCGGTGATTTGAAAACAACTTTGAACCAGCAGAAAGTCTTGGACTTTTGCTGTGGACCTCCAGATTGAGCCATAGCTCACACCTGGTAACAGGTCATACAAGGATGACGGTGACGTATAGCTTCTTGGGTTGTTGTAAACCAGAAGTCCTATCTGACCAGAACATGGTATTTTCAACCCAGAGGCCTAAGACGTAAGGGGTATAGCCACTGAGAGAGAGATGTTTTGGAGAGGCAATTGCACTTGAATAGACTGCAGGTACAGGACTGAGTTCCCTAAGTAGGTGTAGGTGTGGGACTAGTTCCAAACAAGCTGGGTTGGAGAAATGCTCACGTCTCCTGTCAGTTGCTGAGTCTTATGGGAGTGGAGACTTTCTTCAGTGGATAATCGTCCTGTATTGGCCCTAGGCGCTTCAGTAAATGCACTTGTATAGCTCTTTGAATAAACAAAGGTTAGTTAATTGTACTGTACCTTTCCCAAAATCTAGGCTGTCAAAAATGATCTCAAAAAAATAGGCAACATTAAAATATTTCAGAAAGACAACTGACAGCCTAGTCAAAATTAGCTGAGCTTTTTATTTTATTGTGTTCCAGGCTTTCAAAAGGAAACACGTGGTTGTTATTGGAAGGCAAAAACTTTTGAAGCTTTCATCTTATTATAAGGCTTATTCAAGCACTTGCTACTTCAGCAGAAAAACAAACGACATGCAAAATTGCAGAGACCACTAAGTAAACACACTTCTTTCTCTTCCTCCTTGCAGAATCTTTAAATCACACCCCTTACTTGCCAAAATATGTTATTTGCACAAAGGAGCAAAGTGCCATTGAATGGTTTCCTCCTAAAGTTCATCTAATTGTTCAGATATTGTTAGTGTTAACTGTTGCCATTTAGCTTGATGGATTAGACAAGATACAAAAACCCTGTGACTCAAATGAAGAAGCACTACGCACTTTGAAATTGCTTGCATTTCAGATGTTCAGTGATCTCTTACCACTGGAGCATACAGCCTCATTGTTTTCTTGTCCTCTGAAGTTGTTGAAGGGAGGGTATTGTGTCCCTGGTGTCTAGAGAAGCCGAATAGCAGTTGTAAAAAGTCACATGCTTTCAAAGTCACTAGAATGTGGACTGAAAAGTATTTCTAATGGAAGAAGTCTGCTCTGAAACTTCTTTTTGTCTGTGCTGGTGAAGCCGTATAAAATACATAGTTGAGAATTTGGGGGGGGGTATGGCTGGGTTTGGGGTTTTTTTGTGGGTTTGATTTAATTGTTTTGGGTTTTTCTTTAAGGTAGCATTGTGATGTTCTATCAGGATGTGGTCAGTCACAGTTAATAATGAAAACTTCTACCTTTTTTAATACCTATAAGCACTGGTATGTCCCTAACATGAGATGTGAGAGGTGAAGTCTACCCTAGAAAAACTTTTTCAGTCTATCTCTAATGCTGTGTGGTTATACCAGTGCAAAAAAGTACTTTTTGTTCATACAGATAATTAGAGTCACCAAATCGGTATCAACTTTTCTAGCAAAAGAGTTTCTGTTTAAGTCGCATTTTTATTGGAGCTTTTAATGATACAGAAATGTCATGGAAGAAGATAAATACTTCTAACTATCATGTACTAAAATTGGCAAAGCATTCTAGGGTAGATTCTGGGACTTCTGTCTTGACAGCCCTGTGAAAGAATTGGGTTGGGTTTGTATCTTCATTTCTTATTATTGTACTAGGCAGCTAGATCCCTTAACTAGCGAAGGCAAATATAAATGTTATTCTTGAGGAGTTGTTACAGCAGATGTAACCCATTTTGTGAAACCATGCCAGGGCAAAAGATGTTATTTTTTGTTTTTGTGACATTCATTCTAGCGTTTTTCTGTTGCTACACAAAGGATTCTTGCAAATAGTCAAGCAATATATGGGTGGCTCTTCTTGGCTTGTGTTTGTTTGTTATGTTGCTCATAATTTGTTTGATAGTCATAGGTACCACAGCTGTGCATAACTTCATGTTTGTGCAGCAATATGTCATTAAAATAGATGTGGTATGTTAATTTTCTGAAGGTTTTATGAAACGAAAACCTGTGCCAAATTGAGGTCATATCAGCTGAAATCTGAGTTCTGCCAAGAAAGATGAATTCCAGGACCTTCTGCTGCTACGTTTCAAAACACTGTGGCTGGAGCCCCTCCATACAGCAAAGTCTGTCTGATCAAGTTTTGAATACAGTGTTTACAGTATAGCATTCTGGTATCCTGAAGCTGGCTTGTTGAAGGAGACAGCTCTTCAGGATGAAAGCCCTCTGCTAAAATTATGCAAGTACCATAAGTAAAAATCAGCGCATGTTTCATCCTTCTGGAAATAAAAAATATTTTCCTAATAAGGGACAGCAGGAGTAGTTATGCAGCTTCTGTATACATTATCTCGATATAAAGTGGACAACTTTTCTACTTCTTCCCCCAGGTAGAGGAGATGGTAGAAGAAACATAACCATCTTGTTGGGAGGCCAGGTATATTTTAAGGGTTTTATCTTCTGAAAATGTTTTGCTTACTTGACTGATCTTTACTCACAAGAAGTAATTCCACAAAAATGAGCAGAATTAGTATTAACACTTATGTTACCGGGTTGTAAATCTTCAGAGGAAGTGATAGTGAAATGGAAAATGTGTCTCAAAACTTTTTATCTTAAACTTAGTGTGCAAAACCTGTAGAGAATCATACCAACTTAGGCCTTTATGCGGTTTTTTAGAATGATGTGTTTGAAACCCTTTTAAGTAGCCCTAGGTGGCATCACACTTTCATCACTGGGGTTTTGCAATTATGAAGGCTAATGCCCTGCGTTGCCTTCAGTTAGTCTTTCTGAGTAACTGGTCCCTCTGCTCTGCCCAATAATATAGTTCATGCAAGATTATCTTTTTCTACATTTCTTTTTTTCTACACTTTTTGCCTTCCAGTGCCTACAAAAGTGTTGAACTAGCTGAACTGTTAAGCCAGTGAATTGCAGCTGCTTTTTTTTTTTTCCACATCAATCTCTGTTTAATACTGGCTGAGTTTATCGGCTTTAATACCTGTCCTTAGGTCAGAGGGATGGACGAACCGTAGCAGCTTGAGGATTTTGTGCAACAGCAGCATAAACTTAAGGACTGTGGTTTTCTATACAAAGGGTTACAACTTATTTACAGAAAACTGCTTAAAGATCAGTATTTCAGAGCCACAGTTCGATACATACCATGTGTAAGGTTCTAACAATCAGGTCCTGGTTGCCAGTCAGCTCACTTTATTTTCATGAAATGTAACCCTTTTGCCCTTCCTCTTCTGCCTTTGGTTTTGATGCTTCCATAATTTGTACTGTTGTATTGTGCTGTAGGGTTGTTAGCTCTCATATAATGACTTTGTCCTTAAGTGACAAGGGCATGTGTTAATGGCACCAAGTTGCTTAAACCCAGGTTTTGTTCCAGCCAGTAAGTTAATACATACTGAAACACATAGAAAAACAATTTTCTTCAGTTAGTTCTTACTTTCCCTTGTCTTTATACCACTCAAAGACTTTTGCTGTATCTTCAGCTATTCTGGATTCTCTCTATTCTCCCAACACTGAATTGGGCACCCATTGTTTTTACTGAAGTGGCCAAAATGTGAAAAACCAGAACAGCACTAGAGTTTTAAGAACACCTTCCTTTTCAGGTCTTGTTCCTTTCTTCATGTGTGTACTCTTTCCCACTTTGGTCCAGTCTGTAGTAAGATCTTGCAGAAAACTGATTTTTTTAATTTTTTTTTTTTCTGTCTGTCATTTCATTGTTTCAACAGCTTCAGAGATTGAGAGAAACTCTTGTGGCTTATTGTTTGGTTTTCATTCCTGCCTGGTCTGTTGATAGACACCATCTGTGACTTACCAATACTAATATATTATTTTTTTTACCTATAGATATCTATTTATCACACTTATAAATATGTAAATATTAAAAATCTATGTATATGGCCTTTGATTGTAACCTTTTCGTTGAAACTGTCAGAAGCATAAGAATGCAAAATATTTCCCTTTCTTCTGTGGGATAGAGCTCTGATGCGTGAACTCCTTGGGCCACCCAGATATATCATGGAGTGGTTGTGTTGAGCCAGAAAGTAGAAAAGACCATCTTGAATATGTGCCTGCTTGTAATTATGAGAGGGCATCATGGCACAGAGGAGGTCTGTCTTCCGGGTCATTGATCTAAACACATCTTTTGCTTCTGATCTGGCTTTGAGTGTGACTAGAGGGCTTTGACACTTTGTTGGAAAATTAGGTGTGTTTACTACTTCTGCCAGCTCAAAGGACGTGCTTTTCTGGCTACCCGTATTACTGCTTGATCAGTCTCACTCAAGCTCACTATTTACATAGTGGGCACATACAGGGATGGAGTTAAAAGAACTTCTTAATTGCTAATTCAGCAAATGAGTTTGTGTGAGGAATGACAGTTTAGCAGTAGATTGGCTTGAATTAAATAACTTCACAGATCTAGTGAAGACAAGCCCAGTGATGAGATCTACTGAGCTCACAGAAACAAAGGAATTGAGCAAGACCCCTGTTTTTCTATACGTGTGTGTGTGTGTTGCTTTGGGTTTTTTCCCTCTTTCAGGACAAACAACAAAAAAAAAAGGCTTACCTAGATGGCATTTGCTTTTTACAAGTTAAAACAAGCAAGTGGAAAAACATAGAACTCCCTGTGAACAATTTATTTCTAGTTCATTTGTTCGGAATTGAGTAATCCCTGAGATGAGGCATCATGAGTCAGATTATTCATTATAAATTGTAGTAAAATGTCATAACTTACAAGTTCCTGTAGAGGAAAATCACAGAATAGATCATTATTTTGAAGTGGGTGTGGTTTGTGGATGTGATTTCCTATACTATGACATATCCAGGGTAGTGATCAAAACAAAATGGGTTTTTGAAAGAAAGAATTACCTTTTAAAGGCCTTGCTAGGCATATTTTGAATAAGAAACTTAAGAATTATCTTCATGATTGAATCTTGATGTATTGGGTCCATATCTCCAGCGCAGGATATGCAGGGTCTCATAAACTAGGTGCCTTATTCATAAGTGTTTAACTTGTGCTGGGACATAAATTTGACCCATCCTGTGAAATGTTTATGTTTTCCAGGCTCTTCTGGCTTCTTTTGTTACATTTTCCATCACATTTAAGGCATATTGGTAAAATTATATTTTTAGAATAAAAAGAAAATGCCATTTAATCTTTATGTGTAGAATTTAAGAATAATTGAGGCAGGGTGCGACCTGTGATCATTTTATCCAACCCCCTGTTCAAAGCAGAGACAGCTTCGCAGTTAGATTTGGTGGCTAAGGCCTTGTGCAGTCGAGTGCTGAATATTTCCAAGGATGGAGATTCAAAAAGTTCTCTGGAAAACCTGCTCCAGTGCTTGATCAGTGGTGTGATACATTTATTTCCCCCCCCCCCTTAGATCTAATAGAAATTTGCCTAGCTCTTCCAAATATATACATGCCCATTAAGGAACTGTGGATAGCAATTAGGTTCTCCCTTTGTCTGGTCTTCTCCAGGCTGAACAGACCCACGCGTCTCAGCCTGTCCTTGTATGTCATGTGCTCCAGTCCCCTAGCCATCTGTGTGGCCCTTTAAGTATTTTTTTTTTATTGATATCTATTTAAAACTATAATCAAATGCCTGTTCATTACAGCATACTTGGCAAATACATAGACCAGACGCTCTAACAAGCCTCTCTTTGTTCTTTGATTTCTATCATTTATTTCGGGGAAAGTGTGAAAACACTCTCTCAAAGGATATGTACTAAAAGAGACCTATTGTATAAATCTACGCAGAATTCAGAGAATGCAAAATAGCAACTACTCTGTGAGAATTTATCCTCTGTTATTAGTGCAGGCAAAATGAGTCAATTAAAGCATTTCTGTTGAACTACTTGTTCTCTCAAATCCTTTAATTGCTCAGCTAAGTACAGGAAGATTAAAATAGAGAAACCGTTTGGGAGAAGATCATATTTGAGTACATTATACTGAATTAGTCTCATCAACCACTTGATTTTGCAAGAAGTTTTTCTTTCAGCTTTTGAAGAGTGTTTCTGTTCTGGCAAAAACATTAATCATGGATTGCCTCAATTGAAATTTTGTGCATATTTTTCCCTCCTCAAGGGTGATGCAGAGGGTGACAAGTCCCTGGAAATCCATGCTGCTTCAAATGAAGAGCGAGCCCGGAAGTAAAACACCAGATCACTTGGCATCAAACAGGTAAAGGATAAAGACTGATAATAGTATGTTGCTACAGCAGCAAAATAATCTGGAAAAGCTGAACATTTGCAAGTTTGATTTGTAGTTCTCTTCATATTGATGAAGAAGGAGAGGAAGACAGCTGATAATTTTGTCTTGACATTTGTCAAGAATATGCATGCTCCTTAACACTAAGTTAACTAATCTAAATTCTTCATCCTTAGAGCATAGGAAGTAAATGTATGTCTCCTTCAAGGGTTCCGAGTTAATTTAGCAAGGCCTTATTAATGTGGTGATTGTTGTGCTTGGGGGTTTGTTGTTTTTTTTTTCCTTCTTCCCTTCTCATTTCTACCTCCCATACCAAAAACCTCTTTGCTGCCTTTGTCACACCTGTGCAGGTATGAAGGAGGGGAAAGAAACCCCTGCCCTGCTGATAACGTTTTCTCTAAAGAATCATCAGTGCTAGGGTACAGCCTTATCTTACAGCCTGTAACAGTCCACGATGTGCCTGACCTTTCATGGTGAAGTACCTCCCTAATGACACGTGCTTCATCAGTCGGGAACGAATGCTGGAGGAAGTGGAGGCAGTGTTTCCCAGGTCTCCGAGCCAGAAGCTCGAGTTGAGACACCAGTTCTGTTTCTGACTTGGCCACTGAGCTGCTTTCTAAACTCCAGCCAGTCCTGTGGTTGTTACAGTTTCTAGAAAAGCAAAACAAAAACACTCCCTCAGCTGTTTTTTAAGGTGGTTCAATTTCATAGGGCAAAAGTTGCTCTGTATTTGAGGCTTGTTATTACTAATGGTAATGTAATTGAGCATCATTTAGTACAAAATATCAGATAATGTCTGCTTTGTTATCACTTGATAAAGGATGTCTTTTCTGAACGTGCTTTCTAGTTGCTTGTCTTTTCCCTATATTATTTTCATGTTATGTTAAAGACTTATTTTTCATCAGAAAGTGATCCTAACGTTGTAGGGACTCCTCACTATTTTTGTAAGCAGTGTTCCATTTACCAGAAAAATTCTTTTTTTTTTCCTAACTGCCAACTGTGTAAATAGAGTCAGGATTTAGAAAACTGCACCATTTTTTTTCTTCTATCCATCATCACCAGTCACAAATGTTTGCAGATGTGATGGAATGCACACATCTGCTGAGCAGCAGCGTTCCACTGTTACACGGTCAGCTTTAAAAGCAAAACTAGTTTCTAATGTTGTTTCCCTACAAGGGAAACTTACAAGGGCAAAAAGGTATAATGACTGGCTGATTTACTGAATACTTTAGTTTTTCATTCAGACATATGAATATAAAGTGTTTAAGAGTACATGGTTTCCAAGTATTTTATAAAATAGCCACGTAAAATAAAAATTTTAAAAAAGGAAGAACAGGTTTTGTTTTGAGTAAAGATACCCAGGAGAACCAAGAGGAAGAACAGCTTCTCTAAAATTCGCTAAAATGTTGTGCTTATTGTGAACTAGGACAGAGCTACTAAATGATAAAAAGCCAGGAAAATTGAACTTTTGTTTACATATGTTCGACACTGTACAAATATCAAGGTTCATTACAAACAGAAACCCGTAAATAGCTTTGATTTTCTTTTAGCATTTCTTACTGTGTGAATATAGTTTCTGGTAGGTCGTTATTCACTTTTTGAAATGCTAGTGTGTTTTGCTTAAGGCACATTTTCTTCTGGTGGGGGGTGGTGGTGGAAGGAAAGGAACAAAAGCTGTCAGGAAGACTTACACTAAAGTTGTTATCTAGATCCTTTGTCCTGAGGATTTTAATCATAAGTATAGTCATGCTGTAAGTAAGTTTTGAGGAAAACCTCACTAACAGCTGCTCTCAGATGTTCTACTGTCTTTCTCTTTAAAGAGTGAAGATAATTGCTCAGGTGCTTAAAGTACCTGGGTGCTGCTGGTTTTGAAATTTACTTGCTTTACAAAGTGTTATTTCTGGAGGAGATACATAAATGGAACTGCTAGATTTTTTACCTAGAGCAACCAGATGGTGAAAGTTCAATTCAGTATCAATTTTCAGCTGTTCAGCGGGGGTGGCGATTTTGTTACTTCTGCTTGAAATAAAATCCAGTTATTTAACTCTGTACCCAACTCCAGATGTGTTGTTGGATTTGGGTGATCCCAAAGGTTAGAGAATGCTGCTGTGGTCTTTGAAAAGACATATTTGTTTATTCTGAATGAGATCAGTCCTGAAAGTCTCACTGTATTTTCAACTGTTGGCAATATTCCTCGTTGAATCTGGTTACTGAAATAAATACAACCTCATTTTCCTCATAAAGAATTGCCGCAGCATGGGTCTCTGAATTGTGAATGGTCAGCCAAGGACAAAATCACTTTGAGTTAAGAGTCAGTGACATATTTCTCCATTACAAAAAACAGCAGCATTGCACCTCTTTTATTGTAGTATGTTTGTCATCAATAATTTTATGCAAACTACAGCTCAAACCACAACCCATCATGGGAGAAGCAAGCTTTAATTTTATCCAGCTGTTGTGCTGAAGAGTTGCATGGAAGTGGCATGGCTTTTGTTTTTCTATGAAGACAGCGTATCTCATTTTCACCCTGTTCAGGTTCTATATTGATGTAATTCAATTTCTTTGAGTTAAATTACCCTAGCTTTACACCAGAGTAAGTGAGATTAGGAAGAAATGCATTTGATGGGAATGAAAAAGAGTTCTTTTTGAGAAAGTTGGTTTATTACACAAAATTTCAGTTGGTGTTTTGTTGCTGTGAAGTGTTCTTCCTCTTTTGTATTTCCATACAGTTCAACTGTAGGAATCGGTTCTCAAGAGCAGACATAATCACTAGTGCTCTAATGTCAGTAGTATGAAGAGTTAAATATCTTTGCTAGATGTAAATTGGTATTGAGAATGTTCCTCAAAGAAATTTTGATCAACTTGCTACATCAAAGGAAAAAAATTTTAATTGTACTTTGACAATGGAAAGAAAAGGTCTATGATATTTAATTCTGCTTTCTCCCTCTTTCCCTTTCCCTTCTTCCCCTCTGTTCCCTTTCTTTGGTTATAGGTGAATAAAAAATATAGATATGAGCAACAATTTCCCAAGAAAAAGAGGAAAACCAGCTGATGAATCCATTTTGATTTTGAATGTGACTAACCTGCCTCAGGAAAGACTGATGGTGTGCTGCTTGGGCTTCTGGTATGGAATCTGTGAAAGGACACTACGTATTTTGGGTCAGTCTTGAGACCTTGTCCTCAGTTCTGCAGTGGGACTCAAGTCCGCCCATGCTTGTCCCATTGCAGCATCAGCATTGCAAGTGGCAAGTCTCTAAATTCCTCAGTCTCTTGTTATTATTTATATATAAAATAAAATTCCAGTTAGACAAAATGGTCCTGGTTTTTTCCCTGCTGTTTCTTTAAACCCATGTATGTGACATTTGCACAATCTGTGAACGGTTCTCGAGATGCTGTTTACAATGCCTGTATTTTTTAGCAGTGAGGAAAAGCTTAAAGTAGCATGATGTTTTGGCTAACATTAGCTAATAGAATTACGAATGAGAACAATTACAATGACTCTTGTGTTTTGTCTGAGTCTCCCCCTCCTTCCTATACAAATCTTCTGCCTCATCAGTGCCAGCGGGAGGTATATAATGAAGCGTCTGTGAGTTCCTGTCTAGTAGATGGATGGGAATGGAGCTATTAATGTTTGTTCTTGTTTTTGCTTGAATGCACAGCTCAATGGGAACCAGAACGTTACAGTGGTGGGAACGAGCTATAGAATAACTTGGCTGTTTCCTTATTCCCAGCTAGGGGAGGGGAGGGAAAAGTGAAGCGAAGGGAAGTACAAAAGGATTTCCAGCATTTTGAAATCTTTGCACAATAAGACCCTTTCATCATTTGTTGCCATTTCCATGAGTCTCTCTACTGGGGCATGATGCTTCACAAGTTACTGTAATCCAAGTAGCTCGGAGCATTTAAAACTGTGTTGGTGAGTCTTAAATGTTCCTAAATTAATCAGTGAATATGAGGAATGGGGGAAGGATGGAATTAAATGTGTGCTTGTATGATACACTAACTTTCTAAAAGGAACAGGGAAGAAAATGCAGAGTAAATCGGATTCAAAATGCTTTTAAAAATTTTTGTTATTATTTGGTTAGGTATTCCAGCTGAGCATATTCCACAAACTTTTAGAGAAAAACAAACAGACCTTGGCAATGCAAATACCAGTCTGTGTGGGCATTATAAAATGGGCCAACTCTTTCTTAATTACAGGCATGAGGCATGTGGTTGCCTCAGGCAGAAAAACAGTATCTCCCAACATGTTGAGTGCGTGTTTTTATGATGGCTTTAGGCTGGTAAAGATGGATGTTGACTTAACAAAGAGAGCAGAGTTCTTGTGTGGGGTTTGGGGGTGTGTGTTTGTGTTCTTTACTTTAAATTGGCCAACATGGCTCAAACAGGCTTGGGAGGATCAAAGCAGTGTTTTTGTCAGTAGTGGAAAGGAAACTTGGGATGCATCGGTCACAGCTGTAACTGCTCTGTTACACCAGTCTTGCAATACGAGCAGAGATGTGTTTCTTCCCTTGAAGATAGCCCTTCCCTTATGCATTCTCATGTCCTAGAGAAAATTATTGCCACTGAGTTAGGAATACAGATTTAGATGCCTGTATTTTTTTCAGTAATATTTGGCATATGCCACATTGGCATTTAAGAACATAATTGCTTGATAATATGTATTTTCACCCCTAGACTCCACCAAGATGTGCTTTCCTCATTCTCCTTTTTGATGCAGTTGTTAGCCATTCTGTTTCTTTTTGCTGCCTGGGAGAGCAAAGTGAACCTTTTCATGTCCAGTCTGTTTCATTAGTTAATCCTCATCAAACACAACAGCTTTTAATCTTTAGTTTACATAGGTATGTGTGTGCATGTTTGAAAAATCCTGGGTTAAATAAGTATCACTTGACTTAAATGCTTTTTACTTGATCACATCTTCATACTGCATATTTACACTGCTCCTTAAAAACATTGCAAACGATAGACATCAAAACAGAATGCTTTTATCTAGCAGGAAATGACTGCGTCGAGCACCTGCAAACACACATGACGAGGAGATGGTTCCAAAATGTGAGCAACATAGCCTTCACTGAAATCCTTCCCTTATGTCCTCGGTTTGTTACAAGTACAGGAAATAAAAAAAAGTTTCATGCTGGTAAGAGCACAAGAGATTGTAAACATTCAACTGGCTTGGCACAGACTTTCCTAATGAGGAACAGGAGAGCAGTTGATCAGTGTTCATGTATATGTGTACGTCTGTACACACACACAGGTGCCATGGAACTAATTTGTGTACATGTGTTATCTTTTGCCTGACTTTGCCTGTAGATATTACAACAGAGGCTAAAACTGGTATATTCCCCGTGCAAGTTTCATGTTAATGGTTTGGTCATCCTTCCCCTCAAAGCCTTTTGGCTTGGTAACCGGAGTCCATGCATCTGGGGAAACAGTGTTCTCATCTCGGCATCCTCGGCCATAGTGGCCGTTAGCAGGTATGTTGGGGCCAGATTGCAGTGTTCTCTCTTAAAAACATGATCTTTAATCTCTGCAGCATGTGAAAATCATAGAACTGGAGATCATCAGGCCGGCCTATGCAGCCCTCGGTGCTGGGATAACAATTCCTGGAGGTAGTATGTAAGTTGTCTGAGTAAAAGTGGACAGCGTAGCCTCTCCTCTTGCTAGAAACAGCATCACCAACCTGGAATAATCCTGCTAGCCCAGGTAAATATGCACAGTCTTGCAGCCTTGAAGAAAAACACAGTATTTTGCCACAAGCGTTCATTGCAAAAAATCTGGTTTAGACGCAGTGCTCTCATGGCAGAAGGCCCCAGACACGGGCTTATTAGCAGAGGTTGTAACTGCAATGTTTTGGAGCATCCTCCTTACATCTGTCACCTTCGAAGAGAACTGTAACTGCCATGCACTAAAGAGCAATGTTGATATGGAGACAAATGTACTCTTAAACCTAGAGAAAAGAATTTCCTGGGAGTTGAAGGGGCTTGCTCTGTTCTGTTTATTACCCCTGGCAGAGAAATGTTAGTGCGAGCATATTTGCTTCAGAACAAATACCAGCTGCTGCGCGCGTTTCTTTTTCCTTTCTTTTTTCTTTTGTAAAGGTTATTTCCGTACCTTCCCATAAATCTTAAGCTCCTTGTAAAGCCGGTTTTATCATAATAAACTGCCATTGACAAAGAACGTTTTGGCTCCTCAGGCGTGCTGGGGAGGCCTGCACAGCTTCCCGCTGGACCTTCTGGATGCAGCATCTCAAAGCAGGACCGGCTGTTGCACCTGGATGGCCTGGCAGCTGTCTAGGTCAGCCCCACTGCGGAGTGGTTTTGCCAGGTACAAAAGTTTCTTGTTTACAAGGAAAATGTTTGATAACAATATCTTAACTACAAAGCAGAAGTTGCCTTAGCAGAAAAAAGATGTTTCTAGTTGTGTAAAAACCCCCTGTCCTCTTAAGTCTGGACCGTTAGCTGATTCTGATATTTTTTGACTTCTTAAATTGACCGGAGCTGACAGCTTTCTCAAGGTCTCTCTGGATGCAGTTGGTATATTGATGCAGTTGTGGTGGTGTCTCCTGTTTCGTGTCAGTGAAGTTCATTACTGGCCATCTCTGGTTAAAGACCCAAGACAAGATGAAAGTCCAGATCAGACTTTGAAGTTTGTGGATTCCACTGGAATGCTGCTCTCACAGCTGTGTTTTCAAACTGGTGTTACTGGTAGCCATTGCATTGGTGTTGAAAGCTTGGAGAAATCAAAAGTGGGCTCAGGGTGTCTCACATCTGGTTACCAATCTTCTTCCTCTAAAAATAACTTTCTGCATGGGAAATGGAGCTACAATTCCTGCACCAGACTAAGCTGTTGGGCTCTCTTGACTCCTCCTGGCCTTTCCTTTTGGGTGCTTTAAAGGTCTAAATCTCCCAACTAACACGCAAAGCCAGACAGTCATGTGTGCAGCGTCCAGCTGTGGCAGGTAAGCTGGATGTGACGCTCCATCACCAGGCCCAGTTACATGATCTTGTTATTCGTAACCTTTGCTGGATCTTCAGGAGAGAGGAATATCGATCCCGAGTGACTTGCTGCTGTGTGCCTGGGAATAGAATAGCCGTGCAGCGTGCTCAGGCTCGCGATCCCAGAGTCTTTGTGCCCACTGTGAAAACAGCAGTGGGGGCAATGGGACAGCTTGGTCAGGGAACTTCTCTTTTTGTTTGTAGTGTGAATATAAACCTGCACAAGGCTCAGGAATTTAATTCAATAGAGACTAAAGCTAAAGGATGTGCTTTACATGTAGTCTGAGTGTCCAGGCCTTGTTCAGCAATACTAACCTGCCCCATGACTAACAAGATGGGTCGCTTGCTACGTGCTTTTTGGCAGCAAGGGTGGATGCGGTGTTGGGAAGGCTGTTGCTGCCGTCCTTTACCCCTTGGGTTCGTCAGTCCTTCTACCCAGGGAAGGTGGCCAGCAGCCCTGAGACTGCTGTGCCGACGAGCGCTGTGTGTGAGAACCTCATCTTCCCGCCGGGGCTTGCTCAGCGTGCGTTTTAAGGTAGCAGTGAGCTCAGCAACCGTATGCCAAGAGGTGAACCTTATTTCTTCCTTCTTTGGTTGTTACTGTGCAAAGTCCACAGGACTGTACCACCTCCCGTACCAAGATCTTTCAAAATCCGGTGTTCTGTGTCCCACTGCATCCAAATCTTTCAAGTCTTAACCTGAAGTACCTTCCCTCAACTCCAGGGAGCAGCACCGGTGCCTTTGAAGAAGTAATCTGTTTCTTTGAACTGAAAATGAGCCACATCAAGCACTTGGCCAGGAGTGCTGAGGCACCCTGCGAGCCCGCTGTGTCCCTGCTCTGCAGGCACCAGGCTTGCAGGGCAGAGGAGGACAGAAGGAAGGAAGGACGGATGGGTGGACAGATGGACAGACATCCTGAGCAGAGGTCTGCGGCGATGCTCCCTCCCTGCCAACTCGTGGCTTTACCTCAGGGACGTGGACAAGCTCTCATTTTCCCAGCGATGGGGGGGACGCTGAAGCACGAAGCCAGAAGAGTCTTGGTGGCTAAGGGTCATAGGCAGGCAGCTGTGGAGGCAGCTCTCACCACCACGGTTTCAGCCCCTTTACTTTCTTTTTTTGTTGTTAAAAATTGCATAGAGAAACATGCAGAGTTAGCATATCAATCCACAGTGGAAGAAAAGGAATTCGTCCCTTCCCCCCAGCCCCTGCCCTAGATTAAGTTCACTAACGTCCTCTCTGTAAATTTAGCAAGCTTCAGACTCACTTCCTTTTGTAAGGAGACCTGAAAGAGCCATTTCCTGATTCGTACAGCGCTCTTGTATGTACCCACTAAGTGCTCATTCATGCCGTGAATCATAAAGGTAACCTCCGTTCAAACGATACTTTGGCATTGGACAAAAAAAAAGAGCATTGTTATTCAACACAGCACGCTGAAGTCATCTTTGCATTTATTGAAGAGCTGCACCAAGCATCGTTTACAAACTGCCCAAACTAAAATGGAGCTGGTAAAAGCACCAAAGCCAGCCCAAAGCAATATGTTTACTGTCGTGTGCCGGGCTTGACACATTTTCCATATCCTGCCAGAGATGAGGAATGGCATCAGGAGCTGCGAGTGAGTCAGCCTCGGCCCCGGTCCAGTGCCAGGCACCGTGCTTACGCAGCAGCCTCGCGGGCGAGCCCGGGCAAGCTTGGGGTTTGGTGCAACTCTTTGTATGCTAAACTGAATGAAGATGCTGGAGAAAACTCAGCTGCTGCCAGCAGCAAAGGACGTATTTTCCTCTCTGGGGTTCAGTGGGAGATCAGTGAGGCACAGTCTGTTGTGTTTCTGCCTCCTGTGCTCGCCTCCGGGTTCGTCTGACAATAAAAAAGATGAGTTGTTACTGGCTGATGGAAGAAGGAAATGTGCATCTGCGCGGCTCTCCCCCATCTCTGCCAAAAGAGAGAGCGAACCAATTCATACGTCATGTTGGAGTCCTCTGCCACTTAGCAGCTTTTGCACAGCATCCAACTGTACAAGGACATGTCCCTGGGGCCAAACAACCTTTGGCTGTACTTTTGCCTTGATGGAGTAAGATCAGTATGATCTATCCTTGTACAAGAGAGCAAAACACACAGATGCTAAAATCAGCAACTGTGTTTTGACCAAGAAGAAAACAGTAAAGGGGAAGAAGTCTTTGCTTGTGGAAAAAAAGAGGTAACAACATAAATGTGAGCGCATCCTCTTTTGCTACCACGACCCTTCACAAACTCTTTAAAAAGCCAGATATTTACCCGTTGCTTTTTAGCATTATAGTTTTCACGCTATTCTCCTATTTGTAAATGAGGTTAGCCTGCCAAGGAGACTCTCCTGTTTGAGGAATGTTAGAGGAGCGGTGGTGTAAAAACACCCTCAGCCCTGGGCTGTCCAGTGACTCACACCCAAAAGTGACAGAACTGTGGGAGCAAAAAAACCCAAGTGATTTTAGGTTCCTGGTGGGTGAGCTAAGGTGTAACACAGATGTGCAGAACTTGCTACACACCACAGGCCACAAGTCTCTGAGCTCAGAACGTGCTGTGCTCGGAGCTTGATTTTTGTCCTGGAAGGCTACAGGGTTAACTACCATGAATAAACTCATAGCCATCAACCCTAAGTAAACTGCTGTAAATAAAATCATAACCGTTAAGGAGTGGTAACTTTAATTAGCAATCCTGTGGGATTTCCCATATGTTTCTTTTTTAACTTGCAGAGTGAAAGGCATGAGGGGAGCAGTTTTATTGGCACACGAGTTCTCCCCTCTTCCCTTGCAGCTGAAAAACTGCTTTGCCAGTGGGAAGGCTGAGGAGCATCGTGTGAACCACCCGGCTCACCCACCAGCCCCGGAGGGATGCTCCTGGAGCATGGAAGAGCTCAACACCGTCCCTCCCAACTTGAAAAGAGGGACCCTTTCTGCCCACGTCTGCAGGAACTCAAGGCTGGGCTCCCTAGGCAGAAGATCCCGTAACGTTTCCATACTTGATCGTTGGCTTAATTCTCTGCACCAACTTGGTTGCCCTTACCTTTCTCCTCTCACTGTGTTTGTGACCCCTCTCTCTGGTGGATTTTCTTGGCTTTGCCCGGAGCACCTCCCTGGCCCGGGGGTCCTGCTGAGGTCTTCCCAACATTTTTGTCTCACCTCAGTAATTTTCTTGAGGAATTCCGACACCTCATCGACCCTGCTTTCAAGATTTCTCATTTATGGATTCCTCAAGCTCCTTCTCATGTATGGTTACCGCTAGCAGCTTTTATCACCGATTTTGAGACAGTGTTTCCTTAAAACCTGGTCTATTTTGAGGTTAAATTACTATTTAAGTTAAATTACTATTTATTACTATGAGGTCAAAATTACTATTTTGAGAGCTGGAGAACAATAAACTCACTCTCTTTTAAAATATAATTTATTTTAAATGTCAGGGGTTTGAGCCAGGTGAATTTGTAGTGGTGATAGCTGTGCTGGCTCCACGGCCCCATCTGACCCCGTACGGGGAGGGCCTCGGCTCTACGCCGACACGTCTGGAGGAATCCCGGTGCCCCTGGAGCCGTTATTCCTAGACACGTGGTGCGTGGGGCCGTGGCACATCACCCAGTGCTGACGTGGGTGCGTGCAGGTTGTCTCCCCACGCTGGCACAGCAGCAGCCTCTTCTCCCTTATGGGAGAAGCTGCAGATCCAGGCGGCTGTCCCTAAAAACCTGGCAAGGGCGGCTTTGCAGCGCTTTTGGCACCCTGTAGCCAAAACCATCTGAAAGGGTGTTACGGCATGCCTTGCATAAAAGGGACGGGTTTGAAGGACATGCGTGTTTATTTACGGAGAGATTGGCATTGCATTTGTTTTTCTAATGCTCCCTTTCCTGCTCTTGTGAAGGCAGTTATGGGGGGGCAGCTGTCCCGACCGGCAGGACGCGGGGGTACCCTTGGGCAGGTGAGCTCCTCCGACCTGACCTTCCCTCTGTGCTGAGGGCAGGGACAATGGCAAAACTGGAGAAAAAAAGAAACATCAGAGCAAGAGAGAGCTAAAGTGTGCACTGTGATCAGAAAGGATGCAGTGAAAGCATGCCAAGAAAGTATGGTAGATTTTTTTTTTTCATGTGTGCTCTCCATTATTGAGTTTCTATCCCCACCAGTAAGGATTAGTTTCCTACCTTTCCCTTCTCCCTTTTCCTATTCCCAGCTCAGCAGTACAGTTGGAGGGGGGCCACACTCCTCCCCAGGTTAAAGCTTAAGAGATATTTTTGTGGGCGACTTCTAGTCATGTAAGAGGAAAACTTGTTGTTTTTCCAGGATGCACAAGGCTGGAGACAGGCAGGTACCCAAGGACGCAGCCCTCCCAGCCCTGATTTCACTCAAGGTGCTACAGTAGCCCTGTAAGTCTTGTTAGAATCACTTTTTCCTAATGTACCCTTGTAGTTGCAAAGGATCTTTACATTATTTATTTTGTGTTAGGGAACTGCAGAGGCTGAGTGCGAATTTGTGTGCAGAGGAGAAACCCTGCCTACTAATAAATCTAGTAGAGTTTTCTCCCCTTCTTAGGTGGGATTTTATTTTTTTCAACAGTATGTTCATAACAAATGTGAGAATTAGGTTAGATCAGATCATTAGATTAGATTGAAAGGTAATGCTCAAATGCATATTTCATAATGAGTTTTCTTTTGATTGCACTAGGTAATATATTCTTTAAATGTTTTGACGTTTAAACATTTGACTTCAGGAAAAGGAAATTAACATGACATTTTAAAAAAATTCATAGAGAACAACTTACTTGTGGCACAGCATACAGAAGAGCTGCTTGCTTCTCCTGGGATGGAGTTTTAGCCATTGATTTATTCATCTGATCTATTTAATTTGTCCTAAAAAAAAAAAAAAAAAAAAAGAGACAAGCAAAATTGTGCTTTGAACAAAGAAGAAGCTATCTGGGCCTCTCCAAGCATGCCTGTGCAATTACAGTGCCCTCATTCTCTTTATAGATTAACAAAAGCCTAAGCCATCGATTATCGTACTGAAAACAAAAGTAGACACCCTGAAGTAATATATCATATGATAATCCCAGTCCAGTGGTGGGTTTGGATTAATACATGTTATGAAAAGCTTTGCTGAAAAGTGTGCCAGATGTTTTTCTTGGTGCATGCTGCGTCTCGTAACCTTTTAGCAGCCGCAGCGGAGGCGAGGATTTCCTGCTGAGCGTTGAGTTACCTGGGCATTATTTACACTCAGATGAGTCAGTGAAATGAGGGGTTGTCGCAGGGTGGGAAAGGACAGATAAAACTGAGTGTCGCCGAGCCTCTGACTAAAAAAGAAACTGGCAGGCATCGGATGCCCAACCAGTGTTTTCAGGGCTGGCTCGCAGGACGTTGGTATTGCAGACAGCGCTGGTGCGAATGCGTGGTGTCGGGCTGCGCCGAGGCCTCTCGCAAGGTGATGGCCCAAGGAAGGTGGCCCTGAGGCGATGCTGAGACCCTGCACGCTGCATGCCAGGGCAACATGGGTGGCCCAGGGGCTGGTGGCAGGTCCCCCTGCCCTTTTTCCAAAAGGAAAGGCAAGAAAAAAAGTCCAAATGGTGCCCAGCCACCCCCTGCCCTCCAGGGAAAGAGGGAAGATGGGCTCGCTGGAAGTAAACAGGATTGCACTGGAGACGTGGCTCAGCCATTAGTCATCCCTGCCACGGGGCTCAGCGGGATGTGGGCTCTCCTCCCATGCCAAAAAGCCCTGTAGCACATCCAGGGAGGCAGCCAGCAGGTACCGCCTGGGGCCTGGGCTCTTCCCGGGGCTCCTAGTCCTTGCTGCGGGGACCAGCTCCTCGTCCTGCTGGGACGTGGCTGGGGACACGCTGGGGCTGCCTGGTGGAGCGTGTCTTTCTCGGCCGGGCAAAGGACACACAAAACACAGCACTTGGTTGCAATAGGCAGCAGTTCCCAAAAGAGAGGGTAGAGTACACACTTGTTACTGGTGGTTGTAAAAGTCTCTTATTAAACGCTCTAATAATACAGTTGCTTGTCTCAAGAATAAAACACTTAGAATAAATTACTTTATACATAAACGCAGCGTTTAGTGTCTCCAACACACTTTCTGTAGTCTTCCTTGCGGAGTAGAGTGGAATGGAATGGAATGGCTCAGTTGGAGGGGACCTACAATGACCATCTAGTCCAACTGTCTGACCAATTTAGGGCTGACCAAAAGTTAAAGCACATTATTAAGGGCTTTGTCCAAATGTCTCTTTATCACTGACAGGAAACCTGTTCTAGTGTTTGACCACCCTCTTGGTAAAGAAATGCTTCCTCATGTCCAGTCTGAACCTCCCCTGGCGCAGCTTTGAACCATTCCCTCGCATCCTATCACTGGATCCCAGGGAGAAGAGCTCAGCACCTCTGTCTCCACATCCCTCCTCAGGAAGCTGCAGAGAGCCACGAGGTCAAGTCCTTCTCTCCAAACTAGACAAGCCCAAAGTCCCCAGCCGCTCCTCAGAGGACATGCCATCCAGCCCTGTCACCAGCTCTGTCACCTTCTTCTGGACACGTCCAGGGACCTTCACGTCCTTCTGAAACGGTGGGGCCCAGAACTGCACACACTGGCTGGCCGTGCTGTGTTTGATGCCCCCCAGGATGGGATTTGCCCTCCGGGCTGCCAGGGCACACAGCTGATGTACTGAGCCTGCTGTCGGCCAGCCCCCCCAAATTCCTTTCTGCAGGGCTGCTTGCCAGCCACTCCTCTCCCTGTTTATGCTTGTGCCCAGCATTACTCCGTCCAAGGTGCAGAATCTGGCACTTCAACTTGTTAAATTTCATCCCATTAATCATCACCTAATGCTCCAACCTATCTAGATCCCTCTGCAAGGCTTCTTGTCCCTTCAGAGAGTCAACTGCACCTCCCAGCTTGGTATTGTCGGCAAATTTGTTAATGGTGCATTCAACTCCTGCATCCAGATTGTTGATAAATGTATTGAATAGAACTGAGCCCCGAGGAACACCGCTGGTGACCAGTCACCTGCCAGATGTAGCCCCATTCACCACAACGCTTTGAGCTCAGCCCTTCAGCCAGTTCTTCACCCTGTGACCCTAAACCCGCGCATCCCACAGTTGGACATGGGCACTAGAAGTTCACCATTACTCCTTCCATAGAAAGAACACAAAAACACATCATGACCAGCTGCAATTTATGCACTATTTATGCACATTATCACCTAGGTACTGTATTTGCTGGGAACAAAGTAAAATCCCTCTATATTTCTGTGGGAAAAGTCTTTTAACTATAGCTTTAATGGAGCAAAAGAAGATGAACTCACGTACCTGTGCTCACTCGCACATTATACGAGTTGCACGCGACTACGAGGCTATGTGATTTAATAAACTACATTGAAGGAAAGGGGATTTCGTTAATGGCGGCAGCTCTGCCGGGTGTCCATGGTGGTCGTTGCCCAGTGTCGCAGCGAGGGCTGGTTCAAGATCAGCCCTGAACATCTTCATGGCTCGACGCGCCGGTCCTCTCCCCGAAAGTGGCTGTGCAAGCTCCAGCTGCTGGCCGAGGCAGTGGCCGAGTTTGCAGGGTTTTGGTAAAAGAGGTTCTCTGGAAAAAACACATTTACGTTTCGTGCCAGCTGCGTTGCAGAAGGCTGGGTTTGGGAACGCCTGCTGTTTCACTGCAGGGCGCTGTATTTCTTCGTTTACAAAACTCAGTGTATGTTTTACCCAGCGTGCCGGGAAGCAGCCTGTGAGACAGGGAGCCAAGTGTGTGTCCGTGGCCTCGTAACGCGGCCTTCGCGTACCATGTTCAAGTCCGAAAGTCTCTTCAGGCAAGACGCTTCCTTGTCTGAAGGAGAAGTGCGAGCTTCCCCTCCCTGTGACGTAAAATGGCTGCCGAGGGGGCCCAGCAGCGGAGTGGGCCCACTGCCGGCCTTCCCCTCGGCATGGCGGAGCCTCCCCGCCGCCCAGTCAGGTCCCCAAATGTCTGAGGAGGAAGGAACCCGTGCCTGCTCCCCACGTCTTCCCGTGTTTACCTCAGCGGGTTTCTCCTCCGTCGTGCTCCCGCCACGGACCACAGCGAGCCCACAGCCGTGACTCTGGCTTTCATGTCCCCACAGGCACTAAATCTCGTCCGCCACGCTGCAGAAAAGCCGTCTCGGATGAAACCGGGCTCTTCCCAAATCCCGTTTGCCGTGTCATGAGATTGCCAGGGCTCAGCCTCGCTGGAAAGGGACGTTGTTTTGGCTTCGACTCGGCGCCGTCGTGCGTCCGCGTGGCGCGTTGGCAGAAGATGTCCCCCGTGCTGCAGCCGGGCAGGTTTTGCCATCTGCGGTAGCACCAGAGACGACGTTGCCCATGGCATACTTGTCTTTCCGACCCTTTTGTTGCAAGCCGCACGTGGCTTTAGGTGGATTTATATTTGTTCTACGTCCTTTACACCTGATGCTTTGTATTTTAAATGAAAGGACCATCAAGTCTTGGATCCCAAAGGCTCAACGGCTTCTCTAAGAAGGAACGGAGATAACGTCACGTCCTCCTCTACACCTCACGGAACCCTTCTTGCTTTTAGACCTGTGTTAAGAGGACCTTTGGCTTTCACAGTCCCGTGCTTATTCCAGAAAATACCCCAGCTGAGAAACCAGACGTAAGTATGCGTAAGGGAAGCCCCAGCTGCCCAAACTGCGCTGGAGAGGCACGTGGCTCTGGGTGCATAGAGGCAAACCTGGTCCTGCCTGGGAATGAAGCAGGGATGCCTGAGTACGTTGAACTGCAGGGGTGAAAAGTGCTTAGGCTTTTAACAGCAATACTGTTAAAAACTGTTAAAATGCTAGCTTGCTGATGCTAAGCCCAAATGGCAAGAAAAGGAGCTCTGAGGCTCTGATTCCCCACAGGACTTCTGTAATCAAATGTCAGTCAAATCTTGGTGACGGCAAAGCCAGCATGGAAATGCAGGATAGTTTTATTACTTCCCTGTGCTGAGAAGGTAGTCAACCGATGCCTATAAACCCTGAGTATTTGCTTATGAAGAGTTTATTTTTTTTCTCTGGTATTCTTTAACCTTGTCCTCACTTCACCATCATTTGGACCAGCTGTACTTTGTAATGCGGTGGACTTTATCAGCCTTTTTTACAGTCTGCCAGCTTTCAGAGATATGTAGTTACATGACATGGGTGCGCTTCCTTGCCTGGCTAAGAACAGCATACATTGATTACCACTGTCCCTTGAATTTTCAGCTAGTTTTGTTTTTGTTTAAAACTGGATTAATATAGTGTTATTTCTTTGATGCTAGTGCTTGTTACTGCCTCTGTCTGCCCGTTCTGCCTGTTGTTCTTTAGCAACAAATAATTCCTGCTCCTACACCAGTGAATTCCATGCTTGCTAATCCACTGCGTTATGGCTAATGAGATCAAGCTGAGGTAAAAATAATCCAGAAATTATTAACGTATCCCAGGAATTCACCTCTGAGACTTCTGTTTTTGCAAAATAAGAGTCTTCTATTTTCTTCTGATTACATTTACCTGGAAAGAATGAAGCCTAAACCAGTTCCCTTGATGCCGTTGCCTCCGTGGGGCACATAGCTTCCCGTGGCAGGCTACGTGGTCAGCCCCTGCACATGGCTTCCCTTCATCACTGCAGACCTCCCCTCCTGCTGCTTTTTTGCTTTATGTTTTCTGCCCCAATGGCAAAGCTACAGCTCTGTACAGAGGTTATTACCTCTAGGAGTGGTGAACAGAGATTTTGATCCTTCACTCCACATTAACTCTGAAAAAAAATTAAAAAAAAAAAAGACCCATGTGCCTGCAACTGTAGCTAAAACATATTCAGGCTGTGTGGTGGGAAATGTTCTTGTACATTTGTG